CAAACTCCATGCAAACTTGTGCAGTAATATACGAGACTATTGCTTGCTTGCGTGTCGAACACATTTTTGTTTACTTATTTTGAACTGCGTATGCATGGAAAACAGCTTAAAAATGGTAGAAATATAGACATATTTTTAGTTACGAATTTTTTTTTTCATTTCCAGAATTTTTTTTAACAAAAATTCATTGTCTCTTTTTTATCTATATCTTTATTTTGCCAAGCATAGCTTTCATCCTTTCAAATTTAACTGCCTCAAAATAATTATCTCAACTAGGTTCAAAAATGAGCTATATGATTTAGTCAATTACAACAATAGTTCATCAAATTACTGAACATTTGTGCTTTTTTCGATGCACGATCGTGATAAGTTGAAATGAGACGTTATTAAAAGTGCTTACAAGATGCGTGAAAATATTCGGTATTCTGCTTCAAAATGAAATCTAAAACATGTTAGTCCAATTACTACAATCTAGATTATTCAGTATACTTTGATAATCTATTCTTAGGCACAATATTCATCGATTGTAATTCTTGAAATTACAATTTGCAAGCGTATGGTATCCTAATAGTTGCCATAGTATGCGAGGAACGACACATTTGACACCAAACTTTGTAACCAATTAAACCACATTGAGAGCAGACATCCACCTACGACATATTTCAATTAATTTGAAATCATAAGCTTAATCTGAACAGTGAAGTCAGTCACTAAAGTTTACCGATAATTAAAACGCTAAGCGCTTGGTGCAATTGAAAAGTGAAGAATAATTTTATCGTTTAAAAAGATAGAAAGGACATGTAGCCACTGAAAATCTGAATGCATTATCTAGAAAATGTATAACATCTATAATAACAAAAAACAATGAATAAGCATGACAAGCTAAATAGATTCACATTTCAAATTGCTTCTTCAATTTAGAAGAATCCATAAACAACTTTAGACATGCCTCAGTCTAAATTTATTTACCATATACCTTGGTCCTCTAGCTTTCACGGGCATCTTATCCAAAACCATATGCTTCAATTTCTGGTCATATATCGGACCGAAATAAATATAAGCACACAGCTGCTGGCCCGTGATTCCAGAGATCAGCATATCTTTCCCAACATGATTGAATCCTCGAGCTACCTGCCAATTCTTTGCAAACAACATTAACCTGAAAGTGGAAAACTCATGATACACTCAAAATTAAAAGGACTGTTCAACTTTACATAACTATGCTGGTTATACTTATTTTTGAGACTTCCACAATAAGAGTTTTTACAAAGACATAGAAATATTGAAAAAGCTTAAATACATTGAGTAACGAAATGTTTTCAAGAAAAATTTGTACCAACTCTGACAAACATTGAGCATTAGAATGCAAAAACTCACTTACATCTGGATCCTTGATAGCATACAA